AGCAACGATACTTGACCCACAATGTGACGAACAATCGATTTAGTTACATAAAAGTTACGCGATCATTGGTTAATTTTATGAGAAGATACAGGGTTTAATTCAGTGTGGAAACTTGTGTTCGTTTATTTCTCTTCTCCGTATACGGAGATGAATCAACAAGTCTGTAGCGTTATCTTGAAACAAAAGTCATTAAGTTTTACACAGCAAATATTTATTTTCATTATATCCTTTCTTGACAATGCATTTTAACTTGACATTTCTCTATTAATCATATAGATCAAACAGTATACAGTGAACATTTCAGATCAAATTCAGCTAATAACGCTCTCATAAAAAAAGAAAGGAGTAAAGACAATGGCAAAGAAAGGAAGGAGTAAAGAAAGGAAAGTATCATGAGAGATAAAGATTAATGGGGGAAAATGTAAAGACGAAGAGAAAAGAGAGAAAATTAAAAGACATGAAAAAGATGCAAAGGAAAAAAAGAAACCAAATTGCTGAAGTGAAAGAGATCATATGTTATGTATATATAAAAAAAAAAAAGAACTCATGAAGAGAACATTTCCATTGCACTAAAGATGAGGTGCAGTGTAGAAAAATTACACATGTATATTAATAATAATAAAACAAATAATAATAATATAATTATACATGTACAATAATACCTATACGTGAAAAATTATACATTCATTAACAAATTTCTGAAAAATAAAAATTTACTTAATCAAAGAAATGAAATAGCTATTTTTTGTAGACACTGTCAAATATTTCCTTAAATAATGTTTAATTTTGAAAAAAAGAGATAAAACATGAAACATACATATCGATCTTTGATTAATAATTTTTTGTATTAAATTATAAATTAAGCGGACAAATAAAAATGCCAAAAACTTTTTATCATTGAAAAACCGAGACGACACGCAAAAAAGGGATGTCATTGTTTGCGAGCAGACACTCCTACCCCACCTTAATCTGATTTTGAAAGTAACTTATATTTGATACATAAATTGTCTAGGGTAATTAAAACCCAAACACTCCTTATCAAAAGGATTGAATTTTTCCGTAATGTTAATTTAAAATATTAAGATTGTGCTTATAAGTAAAATAAATTTGATAATAGGTCATTCCAAAAATCGCTTGAGAATGGAACGGAGTTAAGGAATTTAAATTTAATTTTATAATTAAATTTAAAAATTTTACTTTCTGTTTTGAAACATGGTAATTCCTGTGTAGCGATGGAACCATATTTTTAAAATAGAAAATAATTATAATATTTTGCTCTACTGTTTTTATATTGAGCACTGTTTTTAAAAAATAATTACTAAAAAACACCGGATTGTAAATCTGTTCTTTCTTATTATATATATAATTTTTAAATCAATAAGATCTATCAAAATAAGTAAAAAAAAATGCTAGAATTTAACGATTTTTAAGGCCAGTAAATTTTTTGTTAATGTGCTCAATACATAAGTACAGCAACAATAGTCAATTACTTAATAGATGTTCTAACAACTTACGACTTCACCGGCCCAGTGTTTCGCGTAATAGTGCTCATTAGAGTCTATGATTATCGTTTATTTTGTAGGGTATAAAAATGATATCTAGCAATAATTCAATAGATTTATCGGCTCTGAAACTTATGAGCGGTATTACGAAAAATTCTGAAATCAGTGAAGAGGTAAGTTACTTGAAAATTTATTAATTGAATGCACACACACACGTATTATAATAGTTTCTTTTCTTACAGTTCTTGCCTATGGAAAATTCTTCTGGTTTCTTGCTTCCCGCTACCTACAATTTAAAAAAATTTCACGAACCTCTTTGCTTAGGATGAACATTATATATATATATATATATATATATATATATATATATATATATATATATATATAAAAGCATATTTCGGCAATGAGAATTCATTTAAACGAGTTTTATTAAATTCAACCGACGATGTCTGTCTGTTTAATCTTTCATTGCATTTTCCCAATTTTCGAATAAATTGTATATCCGGGCACAAAATTATGGACAAACTGCCCAAAGTTCATTTTTTTTTTGTTCACGTACTTTCGATTGTCGAAGTCTGCCATTATTAAGAATTCGTTAGTGTGGTAAACAAGATTGTTGGCTATATCCTGGCAATTTTCGAACACTAGAATTCAAAGATAAGCCTATCGTAAAAGTAAAGGATTCACAGTCGTCGAATGCGCCGGAAAAGAATGGATCAAACAATTTAGGCAGCAGCAATCCCTCGTCTAAGCATGTTTCATAAAATAGAACAAATATGGGAGATCGTTTAATATTAGATGAAAATCTTTTAAAGAAACTTACCGAAATTGTGTGTAATTCTCCGAGTAAGTGCCAGAGAAGAAACTGTTAGCACAGAACTTACGGTGACATCTTGCCATTTCAAATGTAAAATGATGATATCTAGTTGCCATTTTAGTAGTACACTTAAATTCATAAAGACTAAATACCATAGAGGAAAGTAATATTTATTTTGCAAATACAAAAATGTGGCACAAGCCCAAAGGGGGGTGGGTGGAGGAAGGCTGATCTTCAATCAGTCTTATCTTAAACTTAGCTAGCCACAATTATTGGCTAAAACATACCAGAGTATTCCTTACACCAAAATAACACATTCTTACTTACTATTCTTACTACAGTCACCATAATACCTCGAAGTCTCTATGAAGACTTAACCAGTTCCCATATGTACAATGGAAACTAGTTAAGGCGTCATCGAGGAAAATTTATCAAAACAATTACTATGCCGTCCTGGGTATGACGAAAAACTACATCCGCGCCCACGGTAAGACGATAAACTACGTCCTCTGATCAGGAGGTTTTGAGGAGCCTGGAACCACCTCTTAATTGCTGGTGTTCCCAGGTCAACCCTGGCCCGGGGTGGTAGCAGCTATGGGCAAAAGATTAACCCCAAAACTGAGGTAAAAAGCATTATGAAAGTGTAAAAATAGGTTTTAATACCAGAAATACTTTGTCAAAAATTATTACCAGAAATAAATTTTTCAAGGAAAAAATCTATTACCAGAAATATATATTTTTTTTTTTTAAAAAATATTACTAGCGACACATTTTTAAAATAATATTACTAGCTATACATTTTTGACGAAAAAAAATATTACCAGAAATAGATTTTTGACAAAACAATATATTACCAGGAAAAAAATGTTGTCGGCATTAAATGACCCATTGGTGTTGATATGGCGTAAAACAAAAGAAACCAAACCAAACCAATTACCATGAAAATATTTATAGAAAAGTCACGTGAAAGCTATGTTACGGTGATGGGAAATTGACTGGAGCCGACATGACATGTCAAGACCAATAACATTGCAGAATGTAGTACTGCGCTTTGAAAGGAACGGGTGCTCAAATCTATATTTAGATACACACTGTGTTTTATATATGTGTACGATTTTTAAAACTAGGTTTCCTTAGCAAGTCTGAAAACACGTAAACCTTCAAGCTCAACAGAAAATTCGTTGTTTCCTTTTATGTGAAGAAATTCTCTTTGCATAAAGGTCAAGTCGCAACCTCTCACGTATCTACACAACACCTCTCTTGATTGAATCTTTCATTTATTTCTCGCTATCATTCATAGCTGCTAGAACATCTCATTATAATAAAATATGGTCTATAGAACCGATTACATTTTGTAAGTAGGTTTGATTTATCTGTCGACATGAGCACAATAGACAAAGAAACATCAGAGAATGGGGTAAATAAATGATATACAAATAAAGCTTTTAGCGATGAAAAGACCCTTACTTTGCCGATAAGTTTAAAAGAACATAAACAGATTTATTATACGAACATGCTATGTATGAGAATGTTTGATCACAGCTTTCTGTCTTTTCTTTCAATCAGCAATACTTGATCCTTTACGACATTCTTTTTCTTTGAGGTACTTGTTCTAAAACTAATATTCTCTTGCTTTCAATGTGCTTTTTGAGTGTTAGAGAATATGAGAAAAACTACTATTAAGGTCGTTCATCCTCATTACGAGTCTTCAAAATTTAACCTTTTTTTGATTGGTTAAACCTTTCCTAGACGATCTGTTCATGATATTCCCAACATTCGTTAGTAAAATCTAAATCTTGGTAACTACAAGTCTTCTCGTCAGTTGTCCAGTAACAGGTTAGGTACGTCTTTCTAGAGATTCCTAGCTGTTGCTATTATACTGTTGGTGAAAAAGTGTTGTTAAGTAAGATGAAAAAGGATAAGGAACGACACAGGCGTAAAGAAAATGAAAGCGAAACACCGTGGGTGATCAAGTGATGTTCATCTCAAGAAACGACGCTAAATACAGACGGTTTGAAACACTTAGAGAGGGAGGCTAATTTTACACTGCTATTGTATGAAGTTAATCCTAGCTGTTCTGACAAGCTACACTCCTTAGTTCCACCAACATTAACCATCACAATCAAGACCCTCCATATAACGTACACTGAAGCAAACCATCGTCATTCATTTCGTATTTCATTAGTAAGAAAGAAATTCTAAGCAGATGCTTTCCCAACCAGTAAAATGTTAACCTCTTAAAGTCTACGCGTATACGTTATCTTTCCCACATAAACTGCGTCTCTTAACTTAGTCTTACCGCTCATTCAGCAACCTCCTTCGGTAACCGTTTACCTTAAGTGGCTCTTGGGCCTAGAATATAGAGAACATCTGTAGACGCAAATCAAAACAGATACTCCCAGAGAACATTCAGAATCATGGTTGATTCGTTTTCTACGGTTTATCACCCATTTACAGGTTATTTAAAGCCAGAAAATATTTTTAGATTGCAAGAATTTTTTGGAGATAATAATGGATTAGTCATACAATTCTGACTAATTAATCCATAGCTGGGGTGAAAAGAGGTGGATTCACACCTTTCTCAAGGGTAAATGACTATAAGGAACTCAATGGGAATCGAAACTCTGCTCTCCGATTAACAATTCCGAGACATTATCCATTGCACCAGCCGCACATCCAAGCTTACAACACCTGGTATTCTCAAGTGATCACCCATCTATATAATGACCAGGCTTGACGTTGCTTAACTTCAGTAATTGTACGGGAATCGGTGTTTCAACGTGATGTGGCCATAAGCCTCAGAGCAATAAGTCTAATTGCTGAGGGAAGAAGAGTAAAACTGATGAAAGTCTTAGAGTTGACGATTAAAATAAAAGATTGTTTAAAGATATACATTCTTATATTTTAGTAACTGTAGGTCGTCTATGTTGAGTGTTATCGACCTAATACTGAAATAGCATGTGGAATTTTAGCGAGGTAGTTACCTTATCACAACACGTTTGAAATAACTAACTCATCGGAACCTGAACGAATCTACACAGTATATAAAACAGAGAGAATGTATCTTCTCACTGGATTTATTCAACCTATACAGCGAGGCAATTCTGAGAGAATTAGAAGTCCTACCAGGATTCATTATTGGTGACCATAGTCTTAACAATATAAGATTTGCAGATGACACAGATGTTGATAGCAGGTACAAAAAGGGAACTACAAAAGCTTCTACAGAAGATAGCGAAGAAAAGCGAGAAGAAAGGACATATTATAAACTACAAGAAGACCGAATGCATGGTTATCAGCAAAAGGGTGAGCCCAAAATGAAAATTACAAATCAGGGATCAGTTAGTAATGTACCATGCATGGTACACACTTAGGCGATCATGTATCTTTCGATAAATGACATCTATTGTTCTCCAACAGTGAATAAAATGTATAAAGGTTCGAATAGTGTATTCGTTCTTATTTGACAGTGTTGTAATGGAATGTCCCACACTCCCCATTGCCTATGTGGACTGACTATATCAGTAGCTATATATAGTGGGCACAGGATATACCTGGTGGCATGCTTCGGCAATTAGTTGTAGATTCGTCTCCGGCTGTGGTAGTCGAACTCTCTGCCTTCGGGCAGAGAAGAACCCAGAGGAGGCTATGCCGAAGGGCCCAGCCTCATCTGGGGTGGTAGACAGCTACCCAACCCCGTGTATACGGGTCTATGGGGAATTTTTGCAAGACAGGCTATGCATGAATGACTATATCTCTTGCTGTCAACCCAGATATGGAGGGAACTGGTCAGGTACTCAGTTTCGCAGTGGCCCTACGACCACACCCGGTCATGGGACTCATGATAACTACAGATCCCCCTGTTCAGTCTAACGATGTCTTGTTTTTGCATAAACACAGCAGAGATACTGCTGTTTGTGTTTAAGAATTAAACCCAAGCCTGAATTAAAGCCATTCAACGGATTACTGTGATGGGCATACACTTGGAAAATATATATATGACGGAAGTCAACTGCGAAAGAAGAATACATGTCTTCACTCTCGGGAACACAGTTGCAATTATAATAATATACGGCACTGTACAGCAAAGATCAAATTCGAAAAGAATGAAAACTACAGTTAGGAAAAATCTTTATTTTCTAAATCTGATTATCACCTATTCTAGAATTCTAGAATCTTGATGGACTAGTTCTTAAATAGGTAACGAGATGGAAACTATGGCAAACATGGATAAACGTGCCCGCAATAGAACAATGTCAAAAGGACAATTTCACCTATGTCACCGCTATTTTAACAATCTTCACTTTTCAGTAATGTCGATGACTTTTTAAAAGCGATGGTTAGAATTGGAATAAAGCCTAAACACATGATAATAGTAAATTTATAAATTTTTGTTGTTCTTGAGAATTTGCAATAAAAATATTAAAACACTATAAGAATAATTTTATATTTACAGCAGTCTAAAAACTAATACAATGCAATATTTATCATTTGCCAATTTACAAGGAAATAAATTTTTTTTATTCATAAATTTATGAACATTTACTAAATTATTAATATGTGAAGCAACTATAAGGAAATCCTTATTATTTACCATTTTATAAAGTTTGAATCAATTGGCAATTAGCCGATGTTTTGCTAACCATTCCAATAAATAATATAATTAAAATAAACAAGATAAATAAATAATCTAATAAATATTGTTTATTATTTTAGTTGAAAATTTTCAAGAATAAAGAAAATGTATAAATTCACTTATGTTTATGCGTTATGACAATTCTAATCATCGCTTTTTGAAACAAACATAGCCGAAGAGTGAAGCTAGTTAAAAAAAAGCGGTGTCATAGGAAAAACCGTCCTTTTAACACTCCGTCTTATTGCCGGCACGTTTATCCATGTTTGCCGAAAGTATCCTCTCCAATCGTTTCCTCCTCTTAGCCAAAAACAGTATTATGAAGCTTGTGAATCGTTAGAATAGGGTTATAATTAATAACGAAATCTATGTTAAGGAATAAATTCTAATTCTATATGAATTTTTGATATTTTTGCTAACTTTAAATTCGGATATTACTTTTGAGAAAATAGTCTCAAGTTTTGCAATGAGATAACAACCAAAATGTACAGAATCATCTTGGACTAGTTCTTAGAACGCACAAAGATATGAAAACTAGCCACACTATATTCATTCGTTCGTTCATTTCTGAAAGAAAAAAAAAACAAAAAACAAAAAAAAAACAGTATAATGATAATAGTAAAATGAACCGCTTGGATGACAACTGGTCTAGGAGAAGGAAAACTCTGAATTCAAAACCTGCAGAGGGTTGTTTGGGGACCTTGTTGCACGTAGTGCACCAGGTCTCTGTATTCGGCTCTTCAAAAAGTGTGGTTGGTTCTGCACAAAGTCCTCATCATAATAATCAATTCTCGTCTGCTGGTGTCTGGATGTCGGTTCCTAGAAACCGTACTGCTTGACCCTCATACGTCGAATACGACGGGAGAGTCCACCATAATAAAGAATAAAGATATTGTGGCTTTTATATAATATATATTCATTCTTCAATATTAAAGACAAAATCTTTGAAAGGATATAGAAGAAATAACAATAAAAATGCTATAACCTAAGACTTTTTACATATACATATAAATCTTTGCAAATAATACAGAAAGTACACAACAAGAATAAAACTACGTTATAACAGAAGTTGAAATATAATCTTTTACAGGATATAAAAGACATAAAAATAAAAATTCTATAATGTAAGAATTCTATAATGTAAGAATTTTTTTACATAGTTTTGCAAATGCAAAATAACTACAAAAAAGAAGTTGAGATAAATTTCTTTAAAGGAAATATGGGCGATTATGGCTCTCAACGACTTCCTATCTAAGCCTTAGATTCTAAGAAATGTTTGTTCCCTTACTATCTGTGTTCTGGGATCCAGTTACACAAACTCACTAGGTAGGTTACTCGATGTTTCCACCTTGCCTTTTGCCCTGAGAGTTAAATTCTTTATGATCTTTTCTCTCATCGTCTCTTCCCGATTCAATGTGTAAGTGTCCTTTTTATTAGTATTTTCTTTAAAACTTCCGAATTTCTAACGAGTTCCATTCACAGTATTCTCAGCATCCTTCTGTAGAAACGTATATATTGCCTCAAGTTTCCTTTCATCTGTGAGTTAATTGCCCAGAATTCTCTGCCATTTTAGACGACTGATATTGCTCAGCCGTCTTAAAACACTCAGACTATAATATAGTTTACCAAGAGAAAATTAGCTTAGTCATATCAATTCTTACTACCGTTTATTTCCACCAGGAAAAAAAGTATAAAAAAATAAACAGTTACCTAATAATATATAGCTCCACTCACTGTTTGAATAACGGCAGCTACGCAAGGTGGCACGGAGTCTTCAAGGCGGTAGAGTCGTTGTGTATATATTCAGACATGTTTTAGAGTTGTCTTTAATTTTTAACTAAATATCAGAAAATAGAAAGGTCTAGAGATACTCAAAGTAGAGGAATACAGTTGAAATGGTAATGATAGGTGAGGTGCGTGATATGTGTGGAAGAGGAGGGAGTGCGGCTTATGATGATAAGGAAGATACATAACTATTTACTCTTGACATGAAGAGGTGAAAATTAAAACGTTCAAGGAGGCACCCACAAAAAAGGCTGTTCCCAAAATGGCAATTCTTCGGAAAGAAGTGGAACTTCCTTCATGCATTTGTAACACTGAGAAAATAAGAGTGATTCCTGGGTGTGTGTTTGCTGGGTGTGACGGCAAAGAATTGGGTGAGGTTTGCAACATATCACAAACATGCTCAATGGGGCTTAAATCTGGCGAGTATGTATTGGTGGAGAATGGAGACATTCAATTGTTTCTGAAACTAGCTTTGTGATCACCCACTTACGATATAGAGTGTTTTATCCGTTTGGAAAATGTCATCACTCCCGGTAAACATAGCGAGTATAAAAGTGTGAAATGGACTGCAACATAATGCATGTCATACAACTCAAGTAGACTCTTTATTAGAGATCCTTGAGAACCCTAACCGAACATGTTCCGCACCATTTAAGAGTTGCCACCAACATGTACAACGCCTTGTAGAAAACAGGGGTCATAACCTATGCGGTCTTCTCCGCTAATGATCTCGATCATTTGTTCGAAAGATACAAAGATGTAACTCCCCAAACCATCATTTATCTGTTACATCAGCTAAGATAAACTCCAATTCTATTCGAGTTCCTTGCGAACCCCAACAGAATATGTTACACCATTACGAAATCAACTTGCACACCACTCTTCAACCTAGTTAGTTTCATATCCAGATGCATTTTTCTCTACAAGCAAAATCGATCGTTTGCTTAAAAGAAATGGAAACGCAACTTGTCTGACCAAGCAAGACGGCTTCAATATTTCACAATGGCAATTATTTATTTTCTTTTTAACCGAGATGAAGCGCAGTAATTAATAGCGCCATGTCAATAATGGTAAGCTTCTTAGTCGACGACTTCAAAACTCCACGGAAACAGTGTTCATTGTATTGACCGATAGGTTGAGCCGACGGTTTACTTTTTGCAACATCAGTGGGCGTTTGCGGTTTTCCCGTGCCGTGTGCATCTGTCAGAAATTTACATGTGCCACTCCGGACTGCTCCATCTTTCTAGCACCCCACAGTCAAACAATTTTAAAATCCTGTCCACACAGTTAGATAGAAACAGCCGAACTGCTTATTTACCTATTGCGTCATATATATCCGCGTCTATAAGGGAGGGAGGGCGGAATTTATCATTTCAGTTTATTACTTTTTTTTCTTAATGAAGAACGCAACAAAATAGTCGACAAGAGACGAGAATCCGCGGGAAGAGAAATCAAAGTCATTTTCGCATACCAATAATGACCGTCGGTCGACTTTGCGTTTGCAATTTCCAGTATTGCGTTGTTGCTATCTTGGTTTTTAGTTTCATTGTTATTATAGCTGTATATTTGAAGAAGAAATATCTGTGGATTCACATGGAAAAACAAAATTAAACGATTTGCGCGAGAACGCAAGACGATCTGCCTGTATTCTTTTTCGTCTGATAGACTTGCATTTGTTAAAGGAAGAAGCAAAAATTTTTTTTTTAAAAATCAGTGTCTAAAATGAAACAAATGCAGAGTCCAGACGAGGAAATGCTCAGACCAGAAATGGAGACAGAGTTCTTTATCAATATCATATTCGTTAATTTTAAACAATGCACGTTATTCGTTTATTCGCCTTTGTTTGCGTACGCGCATGCGTCTGCAGTTGTGTACATTCGTGCGCATGCGCGCAAAAAATGAAATCTGTAGTGACAATTTGATATTAATCGATAGCGAAAAATTTCATTCCTTGTCGTTAAAAGTTAAGCAAGTGTATTTTCTTTTTTTTTTTACTTTATTTAATCAAGAGAATTTTTAATTTCTAATTAATTGGGATTCCAGTTTTCTCTGCAGAAATCAACGAAGAGTTTTGTTCGAAATAAGCACATGATTTAATTTCTTTTATAAAATCAAATATCTTCGATTTAAAATCAATATATTTCTCTGTATGCAGGCCCGTCGACTGAGTGTTTTGAGTGGGAGAGGCTTTAAAGTGATGGTGGGGCGGCCAAAAAAATTGCAGACCAAAATAATTTCACATCATTTTCACAGTAAGGTGGACAAATGATTTTCTGGGGGTGCTGGCTAACCAGTACATCCTCCCCGTGCCAACAGGCACGTGTATACATGTTTTTCAATTTCTGATGCTTGGCCAGATAAACAAATTGCTTGATTTTTCTAATTTTTTTTTTTTTTTTAGATAAAAATCAAGATATTTTATCATTGGCTTGCTGAAAATGTTTCCAGTATATTTTCGGCAAAATCTTTTATTTAAATAATTTCATAGCGTCATTGTTCAGTAATTAAAGTACTTTTCACGACTTTCTGTGACCTTTCATGTAAATTGTATAGTTCGAGAACGATTTGGCTTTTGACTGGAGGATTTCTTCCGAGAATTTTTCGATCTCTTGACCTTTTCCGAATTGCTGACCAGATAAGAAGCGTTGTATAGAGCGAAACGAGTGACAGTCTAAAAAGGCGAGAAATTAGGCTTCTTATTCCAGAGCCAGGATCATTTGCTGCGTCACATTTGCAAAATGAAGACAGGATTTACGCAGTAAAAGCACCACTTAAACGGGATACTTTCTTTCATTTACACTATTTATATTTGGACTATTGTCCTCATCTTTTTTTTATCACAACGTTTCGGTCCTTGTGCCCTCCGGCATTCTCCAGGTGATTATTGATCTGGGTAACCGAATACAGGGAATTCCGAACTGACCCCTTTATTTAATCTAAGGGGGTAGACTGTTCTCTTTCCACTGCTCATATCCAGGGATATCGTCTAGTTCTTATTTTATTTAACACTGTTCAGTTATTACTCACCATTTCCTTTGAGTCCAAGTACACACTGCTCGAAACAGGGATTGAACTCATAACCACCAAATTCACAAATCAACACTTTATCCACTATGCCATTGTCCCGTAGGATACTTTCTCTTCCAATACATTATTTAAACGACTTAACTTCCCTCTGTAGTATTGCGCAGTAAATATAGATTTCAACAATTCGTAATAATGAATTCTTTTTTAATCCCCAAAAAAGCGTGAACTTTTATTTTTAGTAGATTCAGTTTAATTTGAAATGTTGAACGCTGTTCTGAATTGCATATTGATTTTTTTTTCGTTTTCCATTCTCGTAATAATTCCTCTTTTCAATAAACCAGTCGAACACAATATTTTCATATTTACAATCGGACTAATATCCGGTATTCTTCAGGTGTCTGCTGATCCAACAACCTTCAGGGAATTTCGAACTAAACACTTTATTTAATCGACAGCGGTAGATTTTTCTCATTCCGATGTCCATGTCTACGGATATCATTTTTTTTGTATTGCTTAGTTATTGTCAATTCTGTTTTCATTGAGTCTGAGTGTATATTACTCGGCTCACGAATTCAAATCACAATCACGATGTCATCAAATTCGCAAACCAAAGCTTTAACCCCTTCCTCGCCAATTATTTTCGGAAAAACGTTTCATTTTCAGACGAAATATATATTTTTTTAATATAGTAACTAAGAAACTGAGGCACCTTGAAGCATCCGAGCTGTGGCCAGACGTATGAGTTGATAATTAAACTTGCTTTAAACTCAGTCAGTCAGTTATGTGCCATGCGTGATTGACGTTTATGCGATCATGTATCTTTTGATAAATGACTGATGGGGCACATTCTTTACCGCAGTAGGTTCCCATTTTTTTCTACAAGAACCTGGTCTGTCCTGCTACTTATAATGGGGGAGAAGAAGAAGATTCATACCTTTCTCAAGTGTATTAGCACAGAAGTGAATGTAATGGATTCAACTGGAATTCGAACTCGGCTCTCCGATTCCTCAATCCGAGCCGCTATCCATTACTCCACCGTACTTCGTCAAGCTTAGAAAAAATAAAGAGAATCAAGATCGACGTATAAACACGTCTCTTGCTGGGTTTTGAACGGTATGTTTTGGCCGTGTATACACGTCTTTACCGAAAATTCTTTCAGTAAGGACGTATATACACGTCTACGCCGGAGTAGGGGCTACTCTTCTAAGCTATTGTTACGTTGTACAAGAACTTGGTACCTTAAACCTCATGTTTTTATATTTTATTTTCCAATAGGTTATTCGAAGGATTCAGTTTCCCACTAGCATTGCACAGTGACAGTGTAGGTTGAAATTGATTATTATTCCGCTCATAGATTAGGTTTAATTTGTTCGGAACCTTTTCATAACTATTTTTCGTTTTCGATTCTCGTAATAAATCTGATTTTTAGTACGCCAGTCGAACAAGCTATTTCCACTTTGAATGCGTTATTCAAACGATTCAATTAATCCACTTTAGCCGTTAACATTTGGGGTGGTTATAACAATTCGTAATAATGAATTCTTTTTGAACCACAGAATACGGTAACTTTTCTTTCTTGTAAACTTTTCTTATATGTGAAAGTTTGAATGCTCTTCTGAATTTCCTCACGATTTTCTTAGTTTTCAATCCCCGCAGTGCCTCCTGACAGCCATGTCGCGTTGAAATACCGATTCTCGTACGATCACAGAAGTTAAGCAACGTTGAGCCTGGTCAGTATCTAGATGGGTGACCACTTGGAAATACCAGGTGGTGTAGTGGAATTGGAAATCGCAGAGTAGAGTTCTAATTTTACTCGGGTTCATTATATTAAGAGACGCACAAATACCATTGAGAAGTAGTGGGGTGGATCTTCCTCTTCTCCCCCCAGCTATGGGTTAATTTGTAGGACTTGTATCACTAAATCATTATTACCTCCAAAAAATTCTTATAATCTAACATATTTTCTGGCTTAAAATAATCTGAAAAAGGTTGATAAGCTGTAAAAAAACACAAATCAATCTATTCTCATAACATCCGCTTTTAATCGTTAATGATTATCTCTTTCCAAAATAACTTTTTCTGCGTTGAAAGCTAACAAATGTTCGTTTCGGTCCCAATGCGAAACCTTCTTTACAACGTTCTCTTTTGAGAAAGTGATTGAAGTCGAGATGCCAAATCGGGATCGATTACATTACAGGTCCTTCTTTGAATTTTGTCAAGGATCTCGCTCGAGATATACATCAGGACGACCAAACCAGATACAGCAACAGTAGATCTGAGCCAGAATGGAGTGCCGTTGCCATATCTGTTCTGTCCAATCCACACTTACTAGCCTTGACAGAGTTCAAAATCTTTTACACGGCCTTGGTGAGGATTACTTATTTTCCACCCTACAACCCTTTTCCCCACAGACGCAAAGTTGCAAGCCTATCATTACTCTATCATTCCCATGACAAGTGTTCACACGAGCTCCATTTTTTGGTGCCACCCATTAAGGCTTTTATCCCCTCGTTCCTTAAATATTCTTATGATATTAAACGCGTCTCACCCCGAATACTTCTTCCCAAGAATCATTATGTTGTGTAACAGACTCCTGTGTAGAAGCTACCCAGAACGCTACAATCTTCAATCGAGGATCAATCGTTATCAATCCACCATATCCTCATTTTCTACTTCCATATATTACATTCATATCGCACACTTCATTCAGTAACCCTCAACCTTGAGTGTCTCTTGGGCCTTGTATTGGGTGAACATTAGTATATAAAATCAATTTCCTACGTTTTGTTAGCGGCGTACGAAACTGATAGCCTAAGCAATAAAAAGATGAGTAAACTTAATTTATAAGTAATTTACGATATTGCCATAACAATATGCAAATGATGCTACGGAAAAATTTTGCATCAACCAAATGTGTATTGTTAAAAAAAAAAAAAAAAAATATATAAATTACAAACCTCGAGAAATAAAATAAACATGATAACAGGATATTTATTTCGGATTTTTAACAGAAAACGCGGCATATGGCCAAATAAATGGTGGGGGGTCGTGAAGAGCTGGTCATTTCTTGTCCTATTTAACCAAGATAATCACAATCACCGACCCATTCATTTGATAAATTTTCTTTCATTTAAACCTCATTCGCAAGCAGTCACGATATTACCAGAATTTCTCTATGATATTGTAAATCATCCCTTAAATTTTTTTTAAAATCACTTCACCCCAAGCAAGGCAACAATGCCATAGGACGCAGAGGAGGGCAGGGAGTGAAAGTAAATGTGAAAACTTTAGTGAGGAGAAATGGAGAAAGGACAGTAAAAGAACAGGAAGACAGAGGGTGACGATTGACGTTACATTTAAATTTTAGAAGAATGTGGGTGGAGCGGGGAAGCAAGAAATCAGAAGGGTGTACTACAGATAAAAAGTGCGAGAAAAGAAACCATTAGAATAGAAGTGGCGATTGTATTTAGCTAGTTCAACAGTAAAACGATGAGACCTAATTACCAATCTAGTAGCACGCTTAAATTCATGTAGTCGAGACAATAAGGAAAAAAAATCTCATCCGAATAGTTGCCATGAAAATATTTGTAGAAAAGATAGAGGGAAGCCACGTTACGCTGATGAGAAAGTGATTGAAGTCGAGCTACCAAATCAGGATTGATTACATTACAGATCCTTCTTTGAATTTTGTCAAGGATCTCGCTCGAGATATACAACAGGAGCACCAAACCAGATACAGCAGCAGTAGTATTCAATGCACGGACGAATGGTAAATTTGTAAGCGTGCAAAATGGATTCTAGCAAGAAAAATTTTTTGGCGCGACACAATGAACCAAATTTCCTCGCAGTAAGTATTGTTTGGAGATGATAATAATAACAACAACAACTTGCAAAATTTTATTTACAATGAACAAAATGATACTAGCTAGATTGAAACAGTTATTCATCGAGTTGAGCTGAGCTTAATGTTAGCACAAGGACACAATTATGAAGCACCCAAGAAAGATCGAATTCGTAACTCAGAAATAATGATCAACATCTATGTCATAAAGAGTAAATCAGCATTTAGATTTAATTTAAAAATTAACGACAAAAATGACGAAATCGTGTTGATTGATTAAACAAGCAATAAAGAAGTAGGTAAAATACAAATACACTTCAAAGATGTCTTTAACATTGTCTAAAAGATGTTGCTTAGAAATTTTACATCAACCGATATTTATCGTAAAAACATTCTGATTGTAAACCAATAAAATAACATAATAGAATTAGGAACACAGAAGAAGAAAAATTATTCCTGTTAGATTTCAACAGTTATTCCTTAAACTGAGCTTACTTTCAGCATCATCATCATACAATCTTACGGCACCAATTGAGGAACGAATTTACTACTCAGAAACAATGATTCGCGAATGTAACAAACCGAGCACCAGCTGAATTTAAAAAAAATTATCACCATGTTTTCATAACGTTGAGGTTCAAATAGTCCTCTTCAAAGGATTCTTTTTACTTTGCTTTTCTTTTAAAAAAAAATATTTAGAAACGCTTTCTCTAGAAACATAACCGTATCCAGGCGATTACAACATTTGAATAAAAGCAAATACACGGAGAGATAATGAAATAATAATTGCATATAAGAAAGAAAAATTGAGTCTTTACAAGAGAGTAGGAAAGAGAAAGAAAGAGAGAGAAAAGTGGAAAGATAAAATATTTGAGTTTTATTTTTACCAGCGTATAGCAACATAATATAAATCTAATAAGATCTCATTATAAAAGAATCAGTACTGAACAGTAATTTCGTTTTTCGAGTCAATCTTGTTCAAGCGTCATTGCTATACATAATACTGTAATCTATAGTAATTCTTTACCATACAGAGTGTAATAATTATAGTCTGTATAGTAAATATCACACCCAGTAACTGAGCCCCACAATGTTGTACTGTCAATATTTCATTATAAAAGAATCAGTACTGAATAGTAATTTCGTTTTGTCGAGTGAGAGTCAATCTTCTTCAAGAGTCAGTGAGAAACAATCTACTCCCGTAAAGGGTCCAGTTCCAAATTTCCAGAAGGTTACCCGGATTGAGAAGCATCTCATGAAGGCCGGGGGTACAACATCCAAACTTTGTGATAATAACAACCAAGATAAGGACAATTCTTATTAAATGCATTTGCATATAAAAAAAAAAAAACAATATGGTCTATTGTCTTCGAATTTTAGTCATTTTGTGACGAAGTCACCTATCACTCAAGTGAACATTTTGCTTTATTTTAATAAAGTCTGTAAAGAATCGATTTTCAATACGGACAATCAACTGAACACTTACTGTTCAATTGCATTAAAATTGGATGAAAGCTACTACCAGACACTCCCTATTGAATATTCCCCAGACAATATGTAACATTTCTAACGGCAAATATTCTCGAATTTTCAGCTCATTTTCTTCATTGTTTCTGGCAAGCATGTCTCTTCAACAAATACACTAAAAATGCCCATCACTATGACCTGCAACAGTCATCTTTTATTGCGTCCATTGAAATGATTGTCTTTCCCAACTTTCAATGCGATTTGAAAACTCATTAGGAAGCCGTACATTCCCGTGAGACAGGCTGAAGTCGGAACATAGCCAGGGGCAGCCACTCTTTATAAGATGTCATCATCAGACGTAATTTTGCAATTGAGGGAAAAGCTCTTCACGATTGACGTCATTATGACGTCATTATTCTAAGCTCACTCGCCAGTGGCGACAATCTATATAATCTTATATGCGGAACCTTTCTTTTTCATCGTGTTCTTTAAAAAAGGTGTCTACTTATTTCATTTATAAATATATACAGACATATATGCGACAGTGGTTATTTCGATGAGGTACATAATTCAAATTATACACAATTTAAAATGTATATTGAGGAATGAAAACGTGTAATTGTGTGACAAACTGTTTCATGTACAGCACTCGGGTCTGAATCGGCACACTTGCTAAACCCAGAGGAAGGTCTTAATATAAAGCTGTGTTCACAACAGGGAAAGGAATGTTTCACTGCTTTTCTGTTATGTGGAAATATTTATTGAGTAATAATTACAAATTGTTACCGTTCAAAGTAAGACTATAATTTACCATTTATTATTAACATCCGGACAATAAAATATCTTTAAATAAAAATAACTTTAAAGAACGACTTTTCTCCATAACAAACTATGGCGGTATTGCAGTTGTATATTGCATCAAATGATCACACATAGATCAATACGTGCACAGATTAGAGAAAAATAAAATAAGAGGCTTACATCCATATGTTGAAACACCGGTTTTCGTACAATCATGAAGTTAAGCAACGTCGAGCCTGGTCAGTACCTGGGTGATCGTTTGGGAATACAAATCGCTGTAAGCTTGGATGTACGGGTGGTGTAACGGATAATCGCTCGGGATTAGAAATCGGAGAGTCGTGTTCCAATCCTAGTCGGGTTCATTTTATGCACTTACCCGCAAATAACCTTGGGAAGGGTATGAATCCACCTTTTATTCTTACCAGCTATCGGTTAATTATCCCCCCCACCAAAAAAAATATTCTTACAATCTAAAAATATTTTCTTACTTTCAATAAGCTGGAAAGGGTTGATAAGCTATAAAAATTAATCATTCAATCAATACAAAGAAAGAATCGCATTAATAGTACATCGACAAGATATTGATCGAGTGTATATTGTATTCAAGTTTTAACACAAATACACATTCTTGGCTTTCTTAGATACGAAACAACCATTTCTTATAGT